CATTGAAGTAACACAATCTTCAAGGTGAATCTGATGACAGAAACTCATGGTCTTCAACCGCAAAATATCTCATGACGACTGTACGCATATCTGATCCGTGGGATTGATTCTGGACTTGGTTCTCTCTCTTCGCTTGACCCGATCCACTGAACCACTGAATTTATCAAGACTGCATTGTATAAATAACAGACTGTGACAGATTGCGTTTCAGTGCCTGAGGAGATCAAAAGAAATATTAACACTTTTCAGCATACCTTCCCTCTGTTCTCAAGATTCCTTTTGGTACGCACATTCCGAGTCACTACCCACACTTATTTTTTCAATGTTCTCCTATACTACTAAGCTGTGGCGAATTTAACTATATCGTGCGTACTAATGAATTTGAAAAGTCGGAAAAATAGTAGATCGAATATGAAGTCGTATAATCATATACGTAGATTTTTCCTATAAACACTGTGGAAAATGGTGTTTTCGAAATTTACGTTTGATATATTCCATCAGGTGGTTATATGTAAAAGGTGAGCATAGTACGAATGGCTGATTTGTCGATTACAGCTCAGTGTTATAACGATGACAAACGCAAACAGGTAGAAAAACGGTTATGACAAGACTAGTGGTAGTCAAGGTTAGAGTCGTGGAGAGGATGAGAGGATGAAGGTCTAGTGAAATAACAGTAAAAAGAGATGTTATTAGTGGGCGGTACCATTAAAAAGGCGCTTTCCGCAAAACAACATGGGTTGGACAGTAAACGCAGTTTTATAGACTTGTTCTCCTGAAATACGTACGAAACCTAGTCAGAAGTTTATTATGACGAGCATATGAGGTTGGCAGTGACGAGACATTACAGTCCGAGATACCTTTTATTTATGGTGCGCTTCGGTCAAATGGTTACCCAGAAGTTTTATGGATAAACGTATACCACTAAAAACAACAACACACAACACAACAAAACACCCGACCGTTCCTCGCAGGAACGTTTGCTTACCGTTCCATTTAAGGGCGAAGATGTCTTGGAACTTCTGAAAGTACGTCTATCTAAAGTCATCTCTAGAACGTTCCCTGCAACTCAACCATATATTCTCACCATCACATGGTCCTTAATGTTCCAGCAAACAAAATATATGCCCCCACATCAGTCCGAATCCTTTGTTCTATACCTTTTCATGTGCGATTATAGTGCACGATACGGTGGACATAAGACCATACGAATATCGGAAGGTATTGCTGAGCACTATCCTGCGGTCCTCTACAAAGGAACGGTTAGGTGGTTTCAAATCAAGCCAAGTCAGTCAAGTCAGTAGTAGCTTTATGCACCCGGATAGGTGTATTTTCAGCAATTACACCATATTTGGGGATTCAAATTTACAAAATCATTACATAATGAACCTGAAAGCAAGCGGTTGCACAATTCTGTGGAAATTTTGTCCTTGTCTATGAGTAGACGTGCTAGATATGGGAGAATTACGATAAGCAGAGGTACGTGCAAATAAAAGTTTAAACCTTGAGTGTGTGGATGATGTAGATACGGCTTTTGAAAATTCGTTGTGTAATGGGTGGTGAATGCCTGAGGGTATTTTGGCGGTGAAACCTCTGCAAGCTTGTAGGTGTCTGTCAATAATAGAATTGGCGAGTTTATCCCTGACAATGTCACTACATTTAGAGATGTGTTTCGGAGATCTCGCCAGTAAACAAGAGTTTTACTTCAACATACCGGGACAAATTACTGGAGAGCAATACCAATAGTGGGGTAGCACGCATGCATTCACAAATCTAACAATCAGCTTGTGGTAAAAAGAAAGTAATCTCAATCGGAGTGAGAAATATGAATGTTTTCTAACTTTACAGAATGTGTTTTGAACGTGCAGTGACCATCATAAATTGTGTGATTGGGTGACGCCAAGGTATTTTACTACTGTTGACTTCGGTAAGGGTTGTTGATTTGCAGAGAGGGTGGGGAACCTATCTGTAAGGGCTGAATATGGTACATCGGCCAAAAGGGAAAACACAACATCTTGACATTTAGAGGCATTCAATGAGAGGGAACGGGACAAGGACCAAGTGACAACGTCGTTCATCTTGCTTTGAATTTCTGAAGCCTCTTCTGGAGTGGATGCTTTGCAACCTATAACAACGTCATCAGCGTATTTACAGCCAATAAATGCAGGAGGAATGGGAAATTGTTTGACGTGCATACAAAAGAAAAATGGGGAAAATATTGCACCTTGCAGGACACGAGAAGAAACTGAGCGAGTGGAGGACTTTTTGCCGTTGAGACATGTAAACTGCCTTCTATCTGTGAAATAATCACAGATCAGTCTGCTAACGTTTGAATTTACCCCACTTTCAATAATCAGGTTGAGCAATACTGATCGATCCAGACTGCCGAAAGCGTTTTTGTAGTCTAAGAACACCATTCTGACGGTCTTGTTTTTCTTATTTAGTGCCGAGATTATTGAATGAACGAGATTTGCAACGGCATCCATTGTTGACCGCGAGGAGTGATATGCAAATTGATATATGTCGTCTTCGTCAGATTCAGTGGCAACCCACGGTAATAAGCATCTCTCAAATAATTTGAGCATGACTGACGTGCCGGTGATGGGACGATATTTCCCAGGTTCCTTTTTTGGAACGGGATTTATCTTGGCCAGACTCCCAATATCGGGAATTTTTCCACTTGTGAGACAGTTATTGAATATTTTTGACAATGGGGCTGGAGGGGTGTCCGCACATACCTTGAGTACTACGGGTGATTGTTCATCAGGGCCCGATGCTTTATTCAACTTAGTTTTCAGTAGATGTTTCAGGACTGTGGCGGTTAGATAGTTGGTGTTGGCATAGAGCTGGCTAACTCTGACAAGGCAGTGCACTGTTAAACTGGACTAAACTCAGAATTTAGTCTTTCAACGTCGACAGTTTCCTTTTTGTGTTTATTGCTACTGCCACACAATCGGTTGATAGCTCTCCGCATGCCACGACAACCAGAGCTTCCCAGGATAGTGTCGATGTACAGTTTATTCAACCGATTTATTTCAGCTTTGATCGAAATTGTTAGCCGCTTGACATGGATTCTTTGTCCTTGGTTATAGGCTTGCTCTTTCCGCCTGCGTAACTGCTTGAGTAGCGGTGATGGATATCTGTCTTTGTGGATAAAGACCGTTTCTAGCGGTTAAAACAGAAATTAAGGTAGTCCGTAACATGATCACAGAGGACAGAAGGGTTCTGATCGGGAAACATCGAAAAATCAGTAGCGGCAATCATGGATCTTAGCCTTTCTAGGTTCTCTGATGAACAATTTCTTTGACTCACTACCTTGTAAGGCCTTCTTAGAAATGTGTACCGGTTGGTTTTGCTGTATACAGTGGGACATAATTTTAAGATACAATGGTCTGAACTACTCAGAGGAGTGCGTTTCTGGACCTTGAAAAATTGTGGTTTGTTTGTGAAAATCAAGCTGTGAATTCAGTCTGGTAGGAAAAAGTACTAAATTTTTTAGACCCAGTGTGGTGAGGAATGTTACATCATATCTGTTGAAATCACCAACAAATATACACAAAGAGTCACTTGTTTTTGATATTATGGAGGTAAGAAAATGTCAGAAAAGCTAGTTATGTCACCAACTGATATTGTGGGTGACAGGTAAAAGTTTCCAAAAAGGATGGAATGAAACCCACTCAAAAAACGGGATTTACATTCGATGACATGACAATTGGTTTTATCCGATGAGTATTCGTAGATGACAGCAGTTGATTTACTCCAGGTTCCGCTGACGTAACTTGCAACACCTCCACCTCGTTTACGGACACTCGCGGGACGGTCAACCCGATACAAGTTATATACATCCACCTGTAAAATTTCACTAGGGATTCCTTCATGTAGCGACGATTCCTGAAGCATAATAATTCCCAGGTTTTTATACTCCGTTTTCCGTGTGATGTCTACTACCTCCTCGACTTTTCCTACAAGAGAACGATTACTGTCTGTTAAAATGAGAGGGATTTGCATTTGACTGGTGCTGCACTGTCTGAGTGACTACATATTCACCTATCTATTTATCTATCTATCTATCTATCTATCTGTCTATCTATCTATCTGAAAAATGGTTCCCAATATTCAGATGAGTTTCGTGAAGTCTTGGGATGAATAAAGATGCTCACAAGGGTGTCTGCTACAATAAAGCTGTTAGGGATTTTTAACTTACTCAATTTCAATGTGATATTTAAATGAGAATACAGTATTTTTTTAACTTCCTTTGAAAACAATATGAAATTGCTTAAGGGAAAGGTCGAAGAATTTCTGAAACTCCATGTAAATATTTAAACAAATCAACTGAAAAAGGAGAGAAATGGTGCAAAAGTTTCCATCTAAGTCAAGTCTTGATCTTGATTCCCGATGACTTTTCTGTAAAGCTAATGTCACAAATGTCCGAATTGTTCTATTTAGTGTCCAATTTGTTATGCAAGATTCCATAATTATTTCGGAACAGCTTTACAAATCCCGAGCTATTAGCAGTAAGACAGGTACAAGGGATTAAAGTGGTTTACTCGCTCTGATCAGGTATCAAACAACAACAAAATTCGACCGTGTAAAGATATTGTGTTACATATATATATATATATATATATATATAATCAGGATAATCGTGGCTTGAAAGACAGCAAATGTGATGCAAACATTGGGACGGCCTCAGATGAACCACAAAGCATGCCAGACAGCTTCACAAAGTAAAGACAAGCAATGTTTGCATTGATTCAATCAAATAAGTTACCGACCAAAAGACGAATCACAGTGTTTTATTTGGCGAATCATCACAAGTTTCCTCCTGAATGCTCGTTGGAATTAAAGGGAAGGGCATGCATAGCAGTTGGTAAGCGATCCAGAGTATGTGCTCAAATCATCGGAGTGTAGTAGTTTGTTGTGAGAACTGGACTGGTTTCAAAGCAAAACAACGGCACTGAACTCTTTATGAATGAAGACAATGATTTGTCTATCTGTTCATTTTACTCTGTCAAATTGGCAGAGAACACAGCTTCTCGACGCACTCGGTCGTCAAACGAGGTCAGCTTGACATCATCCAAAGCACGAGCGATGACTGACGAGTAAGCAAGGTCATGACAAGGTCGCTTTTCTCTGACCGAATCTGACTTGCGTGATATGGAATCCAAAATGATCCGTGGTGTATTGGCGATTGCCTCCTTGGATTCGAGAAAAACATTGTGGGTGGCTTTCATATATAGCTTTCGATCTCGAGTACAATGAAATAGCACAAAATCACACACAATCGCAGCCAGGCTAAGCAAAGCTAAATTCGAACCAAAGCTCATGGTAAAAATAAACAGATTAAATTTGCCAGCCTCGCCGGTCACTTGAATGATGAACTGGATTCCATTCACCTTAAATAATAAACGTCTCGGTCCATCTGATTGAGATCGTAGAGAATTGCCCAGTCGATAAGCCATATCTATCATCCAGCCTTCGCCGGGGCCAAGTTCATCAAACTGACCGGAAGCCCGACCATCCAAATGCAGAAACCCGTAGTGTGGTCGGCAGAGATCCAAAGAAACGTCCAAATTACACTTCCACTTAATTGTGATCGCAATCACTCCTCCGTGTCTGAGAATCCGATAAGTTTTCGCCCCAGCCAAACGCAAAACGTCATGAATAAGAAAGTTTGGACAGTACCGATCTCTCACATCGTTCGGTTTGTAAATGCAGTTACGCACATAATCCTCCGTCATCCACGGTAGAATATTTTGTCGAGACACATTAAACAGAGGAAATTCAATCATATTTTGAATGGAAATAGTTAAATTCAACAATCCGTACAACGGTTCAATTATATCAAATTCGGTTTCACCTCGCTCCTCCTTATGATGGTTCCTGAATCGTTTCGTTTTGAATAGGCCAGCATGCATTGTGTCCAAATCTTCCTGCACTGGACACCATCCGAAAATTTCACAGGTCTTCATAGACTGCACACATTGCCCAGTAAAAATACCATGCGCATCAGCATCCAAATCGACCCTCCAGTCGCGAGGCAGTTCACGAGTCGGACTCACGACTGTCTGACCGCCAACATAACCGGGGGTACAGTGTTGATCATCGAAACACCGAGCNACACCGAGCATCTTCTACATCTCGGGCCTCTGCGCAAGTTTCATGACGTTGCACTGTCATCGCACTCAGTCGAGTAATCACAAAAAAACTGTTCACCTGATTTGGTAGTAGATAAAAGTCAGCACTGTCCAAAACAATCTCTGGATGTTTGTAATTGCCACGAAGTTTAGAAGCAACCAACCCGTTTACTTCGAATCGAACACCACTCAGTGCTCTATCGAACCGTTGGTATGCTTTTTCCCACCACATTGTAAAAATAAAAAAGTAGAGGATAATGGCTACTTGCAAAATGCGGTTCAGTGAAGCCACAAAACGATGCTGAACAAGAACAACTTTGGGCATTTCGTATTGCAACATTCTTCTACAAGGACCGGGACAGCGTCTGGTTCGATCGGGTGTAAATGATGATAACTGCCAACGCATTTGCGAGTAGACGATATTTATGACAGAATAATGTACATAGGGATGAAAAAATCGTCAACTGATTGTACGAAACCAACGTGCCAACCGTTGACTGGAACGCGGATTGCCGAGAGCCAGGGACACGTACGTATATCCGCAGATAGCAGAGTGAGATTAGCTTACCTCACCTGTCCTCCTATTTGGACTCTTATCAGTTACCAGCAATAGGCGGCGGGTGGAAATGAACGATCAACTGGATTGGTTTGGCTAGAGAAACAATAACCCATTGGTTAGTCTACTGTTTAGAGGTCGATAGTCACACGCAAACATGCATAACTTGTTTGTCGTTGTCATTGCGATGAACCGAATTTTGTGTAGGCACGAAAAATGACAATCCAGTTTAATTCGCTCTTCTTTTTTAATTGAATATTCACCTCTATCAATTTTCTCCTTGTTCACCTCAGGGGACAGTCGCACCGGTGGCACAGAAAGTGATGCGCACTAACGCATGCAAGCACATGAGCGTACGCACGCACGCAAACACACACACACACACACACCGAAAGAGAGGTTCAGACACTGTGAATGCATGGCCATTCATTCTTCGGGAGCCATAACTGTGTTCGATAGGAAAAAGATCTGTTGGAACAGTCAGATTTCCTAAAAACAATATCATGAAGATGAATGACGTTCATTCGAGCAGTGGGAATCCAGGCGACATTCAACAGTGGCTTTCTGTGGCGATGAGGTTACTGCGCTACGCGGATCGTGTTGAGAAAGGTAAAGTGAAACATAAAATTGCATTCGACACGCAGCTCGCGTCATGCAACAGCAATAATGCAAAATCAGCTATCCATTTTCTGGAGAAACACCTATTCCGGTTGATAGTCAATTAGTGAGAAGAAATTTTTACACGTATTTTGTCAGTTTACCCATTTTTGGTATAGATCTGTTGTTACTCGTAGCCTATTCACACACAAAAGCAAATTGTCCAAATCCGATATTTTATGAGCAAGACAAATGGACAAAATATGCACAAAAGGAACAGGATTTTTCAATCACAATGTGCATGCAAATGGAAAAAGGAGTTACCTAGATAAGTATGGTAGAAGGTGATAAACTTATAACTGGCTCCTTCAGCTTGATTCCGACGCACACTCGCCCTGCAACAACAGTTCTTCCCTAGCCTATATTAAATGGAAACTATGACTGAAAATGTAAAATAGTACCACAAAGCGTATTATTTCCTTCACCCAGTGTTCCATAACAATAAAGCATATTAATGCTAGGTAGAGCAGCCTTTGCGTTGCGGAACCGAGCCAAACTTTTGGAGCGTACTTTCTGATAGGTTCCGGAACAGATGAATGTAGGCAAACAATCGTTCCCCTTTTGGGGTAGCTCCCGGTTAATTATTCGGCTTATTTATTCTTGTGAATAAAAGGCCCTAAATGTTCTCAAGTTGGTTGAGATCTAGGCTGCATTCAGTCCAAACTGTCTTTCAAACAACGCTAAACTATTACCGATTTCTGATCAAATGAGCGGAAGCATAATTCTGCTATAATACGGTCTCAACCTGAGTACTCAAACCCGTCAATAGCAGTAGACAGCGTTCCAGATGACGAACTTTCACATCGGAATCTGAAATACCATGCAGAATGGCGAGATCTCTCGAACCGTATAACAAAAATCAATTTCATAACATCTGCGAACTTTCATTACTGTTCCGTCAACAGAACTACTGAGCATTTTTTGAGTCATACCATTAATCGTCTCAAGTCTCTGGTCCATCCAAGGTGAATTTAATTCCATCACTGCAATAAACTTATTTTCGATAACATAACGTGAGATTAAGCCCATCATAAGTAGGTCTATGTTCTAATTTCTTTCAGCGTCGTTTTCCATTCTCTTCTATCTAATCCACGATACGTCCCGAGAGTTTGTAGTATTATTCGATTTAAAGCACTAAATCTGACGAGAGATTTCATTGCTGACTTCTGGAATTGGAATCACGCTCTGCACGTATCTTTCTCTGACAGTTTCCGGAGTCGCGGATTCGGTTTCTTTTCCCCTTAAGCCTCGATTGTTAAAAACACAGTAGGCCTTGATTAGGTGTGCGGTTCGCTAATCAAATGTATGCCGTACTCCAGTAGGTAAAACACTCCCTCCTCCTAAAAGTCATTTTCAACAAACCATGATAGCGATGAACTCGGTTCGTCTTATAAACAAGTGGCTACTGAATTTTGATGCTACTGTGAGAGTTTGATCAAGACAAGGTTCAAATGCATAGGGTTGACCTCACCTTATGTCAGATTTCTGTCAAAGTTTTGCTCACGCGTCCTGGATCGGACACAGAAGGACCGTTCCGGACACATACGAAAAGTGTATCAGTGATTAGCTGCGGAATGTCTGTTTCACTTCATAATAATAATTTTCCTCTTTCCAACTGAGCACAAGTGAGATATATCACTCATAGGAGAAAGCTATTTTACACTTAAGATCGCATTTTTATTTGAATTCTAGCTACAAAGTTCGAATTTGATATTTATGATTCGTATATCTATTCTAATAATGCCCATAATAATTATCTTGGTTCACATACGAGCGGAAGCTCTGTAAAACTCTCCAGGGTGGAATGAAACATTAAGCGTTGAACACCGATGTATCTATACCCTGAGAATCTTCGGTTGTCATATGAGCAATCCAAATTAAGTGATCAAGTCATCATTCCCTTACAACGGACACCACATATTTGGTCCAGAGTGTGACACGTTTAAAAAAATTTCATTGACCGAATTCGTGGTCATTCAGTTCTGCTCCACTCAAATTCACACGAACAAAAGAAACAAATCCAAACCATCAGAACACAAGTCCGAAGGTGAACAATCGTTTTCAAATGATTCATAATCGTGCCTGTACAGAATCATTGGAAAACAATTGTTCGCCTTCGGACTTGTTTTCTGATGTTACGAGATTATTCTGGAATTTGAAATCCAAACCATCCGGTTTTCTGGCGTGGCTATAATCCGTAAAATAGAGCATCGAATGCCGCACCTATCAATATCATTTGAGCTGGTGTAAGCCAATGGAACACTGTTATTTCGCAGCTCCTCTCTATCAAAATTAGAGTATCTTTAACCGAGAAAATGACCTTAGAACCATTTGATAATTATGGGCCCAATTTGGAAGTCCCGACCTTCATATTATGATTTATTATCAGAGAAGTGGCTGATATTGTTTTATATACTCCTAATATTGGTAAAAATATGAAGGTACGTAGATTTAATTGAACACATGAGCTTCAGCTTCAAAATTATCAACATTCAATCAAACCTATACGTTCGACTTGCTATTTGAGCTTTGATCTGCAAACCACCAGGTAACCACCTAAAGATATTTCCATCGGATCAATAAAAAGGGTAGGAACTCGTGAACAACAAGAAAATCTTTCCGGGGGAGTAGTTAATGTTCTTTTCTGTTTCCTTTATAATCACATTAAAAATCTTTGAATTTCTGTGCTGCATTATTCTAATTTTGCACTTAACTTTACATATGCCATGCTATTCTGAATCAGTTCCTATGACAACGATGTACCGATTTCTCATACTCCGTTCATCAACTAATATTTCAATGGACCTCCGAATGTTATAGTACATCATCTCTTAACTATATTTGATTACCAAAAATGAAAAGCTTCATTGCTCAATTATGTAGAAATAGTGTGCAACATCTGGAAATAGTTTACACAATAACTGTCATGGAAACTCTTACTATGTCTGATTCATCTTTGATTGAAGTAGCTCATTTACAGTTCCTGAATGCGCCGTAATTTGAAAATCAGTGGTGGTGGTCATTTGTTTAAATTGATACTTAGTAGCTTTTTTGTCATTATTTGCCCTGACATGTCTCAAACCATTCAAAATGCGTTTGGCCACAAGCAATTTCTATTCAAAAACTCAAACTTAAAAAAATACAGCTAAACAGAAGAATTATTTTAAGTTTGAGTTTTTGAA